TTAAGCAAAACTGACCTAGTCGGTTTGAGTCGGGTTGGGTCGGTTTCGGCTCTAAGTTCAACCATGGTAATAAATTGGTAGATTGGAGAAAGAAGACTGAAATTTGATGTAAAAAAGGACACCTAATTCTATTAGAGAAAGAATTGGTAGGGGCGGACCAAGTTAGAATAGAAATTATCAAGAAAATAGAAAGTCAAACTCTTTAGAGAAAGAAGATTGAAATTTGTATATTTCAAGAAACATTCTAATTTATGTAAAAAAGGACACCTAATTCTAATTGTAATTGGTTGCTTATTTGGTGTAAAAGACCAAAAAAATTAGGATCCTTTGATTCTTTTCTTTAAACTTTTCCAAAAAAATTCCTTATCTAGTTGTCTTACAATACTTTCCATTAATGTCATTCCTAACTAGAAGACTAGAAATTAGGTTAGGTTGTAAATATGATAGAGACAACTTAGTTTAGTAGGAACTAAGTAGGTTGTAACTACTAACTAAGAACTAACTACTAACTACTAAGTCGGTTTGGTTCGGGTCGGTTTATGATTTTTTACAACCTGAAACCGACCGGTGCTGAAGAAAACCCAGCCGACTCGGGTTGGGTCGGTCCGGGTTGGTCGGTTTGGTCGGGTTGGGTCTTCTTATGAACAACCCTACTCGGGAGAACCTACACTAGGAATATTTTTATGAGGAAAATTGTCGTACGCGAGGTGGTCAAAAGAAGAGTTGTATTTCAGTACTTCAAAATGCGAGTTTGTACATAAAAAAACTACTAAATCGAGCTCTGAGGCTCGGTTATTGATGTTTATATAAGAAGGGGGGTCCAAGAAAAGAGGCAATGATCAATTGTCATGGGGCTCCTTGCCCTGTGTGTTTTAAATTATATATGATAAAATGGTTGTAAGTTTAATTAATGGCATAAACCTATAATTGGAATATAGAAAAAACCAATAGATTGGTAAAATAAAGGGTTCTTAGGTTCTCCCCCTTAGGTTTTGGTTTTCTTCTTCTACTCTTTTCAACCAAAACCCTGGCCACAAGTTGCCAGCTATTGTAGATCACCACCAATCGATGAATTGTTGAAACAACAATTATTGATTAACAACAGTTCATTGAATCTTTTATTGCCTCATTGGTTTGTTCTTCTCCAACTCCCCTATCCTACTCTCCTGTTTCCCTTTTCATCGAATCACTCATCTTTGGCCACTGGTGGTGTCATTGTCCTCCTTGCATCATCACCCCAAATGTTCTAACTATTTTTCTCCCCTACTTATAGTGTTTCACTTATTGACATCAATCCCATCTTTGCCGTTGTTGGTTGTTCAAGGTCAAGTGAGAGTCATGATACATGAGATTTGAGATTTTAGACCTCAATCTCATTTTTAATATGTTATGATTTTATATATTGTTTGGTTTGCATACAGAATACCATTGTCATTTATCAAATTATTCCTAAATTCTTAACTTGTTTAAATGATGTACAAGGTCTCAACTCTCAAGTTGAACATAGTGTTTTGCTATGAAAGTTTTAAATCTCTATCTTTAAGTTTTATTGTTATGTTTTGTTTCTTATTAGATTGAATACTTTTGATGTTTAATGACTAGTTTGTCTAATATTTTTGTTAATGTTCTACTTTAATCTAATATTTTTTTTTCTTAATGTTTTGATGTTTGATGTTTAATGTTCCATCTTTTATAGTCTGAATATGCTTTTATTCTCTATTTTCTCAAATATGTTTCTATTTTCTCAAAAAAACTAAACATGCTTGATTGTTATTTTTTTCTTATTAATATAAACTAGAGTATTTTGATAGTTAATTTTTTTTGGATTTATGGTTTCTATTAAATTGAATATATTTGCTATTTAATTCTCACATATTTTTTGATATTATTATTATGGTTTATATAATTAAATTATATTTATCCTTTTCTTTTAAGGAAAATGTCCTAGTTTGGTATGTTTGTGTTTATATTGAATCTCATGTTAATTATAAGAGTGTTTAGATATTAAGTGATTTTTATATACAATTTGTTTAACCTTTGGTTCTTTATTTATGCCATTGTTAACTGTTCACCAAGATTTCTCTAAATATGACCAAGCTAACTTCCTCTAAAAATGAATAAATTGTTGTAGCTATTGAGGATATGAATATTGATGATACAATTGATGCCTCTAAATCTACCTCAAGTTCTAACAAAAAGTGACTTCTATAGTGTGAAAGGAATTTGATTTAATAAAAAAATCATTTAGTGTTGAAGATGTTATTTGTAAGCATTGTTGCCAAGCATTTGTCTGGGGTAACAGAAGTGGCACAACTCATTTGAAAAACCATCTTTCAAGGTGTAATGTGAAAAGATATAATGATTTCTTCCAATAAATGTTGATAGTTTCAAAAAATGTAGTGGGAAGCCTCTTGTTGAACGTTTTAAATTCAATCTTGAAAAAAGTAGATTGAACATTGTGAAATTTGTAACATCTTATGGTTGCCCTTTCAATATTGTTGAGAATTATTTTTTAAACATTCACTTCCGGTCTTAACCCATCTTTTCAAGATGATTTCAAGGACCACTATTAGAAATGGTTGTTTGAAAGTGTATCAAAAAGAAAAGGAAAACTTGTATAAGCATTTTGATACACTTTCTTGTTAGTTTAATATCACTACTAACTTGACTTCAACTCAAAGGTTGTGTTATTGTGTTGTGACCATTCATCATATTGATGATGATTGAGTATTGAATCATAAGATTCTTTCTTTTATTGTTAAGAAATCTCTTCATTATGGAAAGACCCTTTTCGGAGTCACTTTGGATGCACTTGTAGAATGGAATCTTGATAAGAAGTTGTTTTCATAACAATAGATAATGTTTCCAATAATGATGTTATGGTTAGGGAACTTAAAAAAGCATATTAATGATCAATACTTTCTTCCTCTTTTTGGTGAATTATTTTATGTTTGTTGTATTGCACATGTTTTTAATTTCATTGTGTAATAGGGGTTTGGATAGGTTTTAGTGTCATTGCAAAGTTAAGAAAGAGTGTTAGGTATGAAATATTTATAGTTCATAGATGAAACTCTACATGTAAAATGTTGGATTGTGTATTAGGTTGAAAGAAGCATTTATTCATTTACCTAATATTGATAGGGATTATAATATGTGTTTGTCTTAGAGAAGTGGAGGATAGGGTAAGATCTTTATGATTGTTTGAAAATTAATTTTTTATGACACTATTAATGCATTTTACTCAATTGCTAATATTTTTTTCAAGAATGTTTATAAAATCAATCTTATGTTGTGGAAATAGGAAAATAGTGGGATTAGCTTTTAAGATCAAGGCCATCTAAAATGAAGAAAAATTTTAACAAATATTGGAAAGACTGCAATATGGTTTTACTAGTTGTAGTTGTACTTAATCCTAAATTCTAGATGCAGAATCTTAAGTTTTACTATAATAAGATTTTTGGTTTTGAAACGTTCAAATACATTTTAAAAGTTAGAATGTATTTGTTTGATATCTTCATGGAGAATGGAGGAGCATTAAGTAGTTTAGTGTCATCACAGTCACAGGCTTCCCTCATAAAAAGAGGTAGTGGCAACTTGGTTCAAGTATTAATGAGGTTGAGGCTCATAACATTGATGGTGATGATGACGATTTTTGCAAATGGTGTGTGGATGTGGGTTTAACTTCTGATACAATTCCTACAAAGTTAAAACTTGATTTATATTTGAAAGAATCCTTATTTCCTCGATTCAAAGAATTTGATATATTATGATATTGCAAGTTACACCAAACTAAACATCTTAAACTTGTAGTAATGGTCCATGATGTTCTAGCTAGTGATTATTGTGGCATCATAGGCAACTTTTAGTACTTTTAGTAAATTCATTCATAAATATCGTGCACTCTTACAACCATAAATTGTAGAGGCTTTGATGTGTGGAAAAAGATGATTAGAACATTTTTTTAAAGTAAATAAGTTAATTTAAACAAATTTAAAGATTTCTTTACATTCTTGTTTACACTATCATGTTATTAATGATTTTTGTTTATATGTTTTAAATGTTGCTAAGGAAGAAATAAAGGATGAAAGATTATGTGAATCTAGAATTAAAACAAGTTGATCTAGTAAGTGTAGCGTTATTAACTTATATTTATTTATATTTACTTTTATTTGAATTTTAAGCCAAGGATTTCCTTTTTTATTGTAGGAATTCGTTGAGATGGATCATCATTACTCATTGAAATTTGGTGGATGCAAAATTTCTAAGAATAGTTTAAGGACTTGAACTTTGAACTTAAACAATTAACTTAAGTTTGATATTTGTGTTGATCATTTGGAGCTTTTTAACAAGAATAATTATTACAATGCTTTCGTGTCTTAGGATGAAGGGGTAAATGGTGTCAAATTTGGGTGATCTTGGTATCATTGGATTTGGATTTATGGGATACACATACATATGATTTTGGATTTGGTAAATCTATTAAACTACCCTTATGGTTAGTTAATTGATTAAGTGTACCCTTACTATTTAGAAATTGATTAACACTACCCTTACTGTTTCTAACAATTGACTGACTATACCCCTGTCGTTAACATCCGTTAAATCTCTATTACGATCTCTACACATATAATCCCATGTGACTTATAAGATTTTTTCAAAACCCAATATTACCCTCGTCCCTTGAACCCCCACTTTCTCTCTCTCTCTCTCTCTCCATTCTTAGACCACCCCTTCTGCCTCTACTTCTCTCTCAGACCTCCCCCTCCGCCCGTCTTTGGTCTCGGTGTTCAACTGAAAACCACTCTTATCATTATCATGTGAATGCTCCTCTAGTTGCCGCTCCTATCTTTGGTCTCAATGTCTGAATGAAAAACCAGTCTTCTCGTATGCTACCCCATGTTCAGATGAATTGCAGCGGCAGCGGTGATTGCCATTGTTGTTTTTGGTTTGAGTAGAGATTGACGATACCATGCATGTACGCACATTGATCTCTAGTTTTCTTACATCTCGCCATCCCAGAGCTCCTCCACAGACTTGAATAGCCCATCCTCCGAGACAAAAACATCTGCAGTGCATAATCTATGCTGCGGGATCTGACTAATCTTCTTAGATTCCTCCTCCCTCAATGCCCAATTGAATATATCAAGGTTCTTCTTCAACCTCCCCTTGTTGCAACTTTTCACCAACAAACCCACCCCTTGCTGGTATACCCATCTCAGAGAGATCTGCATGTAATGTGTGTGCACCACTTTGAATTAATGTTCTACCATTAAAGGCCACTTCTTAATTAAAGAAATAATAATGATTTTTCACAACTGATTATTGCCCCATAGTGGGATGGAAATATCACTACTCCATCAACAGATTTAGCACTTTCAGGACTAAAACAAAATAGAAGAAGGGAAAGAAAAACAATTAGTTATTGATCCCCTGTCGTTGTTGTTCAGAGTGTTGCCGCCGCCGCAATGAAGGGTCCTCCGGTGAATCAATGGCAATGAAGAGAGAGAATGAGCGAACCGAACAGGGGGTTTCACAAGTTCTGTTGAAGAAGCAAAGAAGGGTCCTCTGGTTTGTGGGCTTTCATTTTTGGGTTTCCAAGGCCCAACATGCATATAGTTTCGAGAGAGGGGTTTCATTGGGTATTGCCGCTATTGAAATGAAGGGTCCCCTGGTGAACCAATGGCAATGAAGAGAGAGAACAATTGAACCGAATAAGGGGTTTTACAAGCTCTGTTGAAGAAGAAGAGAAGGGTCCTCCGGTCTGTGGGCTTCCGTTTTCGGGTTTCCTAGGCCCAATGTGCATACAATTCTGAGAGAGGGGTTTCACAAGGGGTTGCCATTGCCGTCACTGCCACCCCTATTTGGTTCACTCTGCATTTTCAACAGAGCACTCCATTGTTGAAGATGAAAGAGGATGAAAGGTGTGACGGTTCATTCGTTGGTTCTTAGAAATAATAGGGGTAAAATAGTCTTTTCATCTTTCAATTAACGGGAACTAACGAGAAGGGAAGTATTAGTCAATTGTCAAAAATAGTAGGGGTAGTGTTAGTCAATTTTTAAACAGTAAGGGTACACTTAGTCAATTAGCTAGAGATTCTAATGTAATCACCATGGTGAGAAGGAGGTTAGTCAATCTCCGAAGGTCCAGATATGGCAACGGGAAAGAGAGGAGAAGAGAGAAGAGAAGGGAGTTGGCTGCCTCTCAAAAACCCTAAGTTAGAGCTATCATTCTCTTGTGTTCCCCTGGGGAAGAATTGTTCTCCCTCTTTTATAGAGAGAAAGTTAAAGTTATCTAGGAATAAGTTCTTTCCTGTTAGGAAAGAGAATCGTTTCTGTTTGGAAAGGAGATATTTCCTTTTGTTTGACTATTAATGGGGTCATTATTGGAGAATCTTATCCCCTTTGGATTCTCTCCATATGCGACCCTATTATATTGATGTGGCATGAGTGACATCGTTTGGTGGGCGTATTAAGCCACATGCACAATTTAAAGATTCTCCATTATTGGAGAATCTTATTCCCGACCTATTGTGATTCTGCAGTTCTATAATGGTGTTGGGTTCATCGCAACTCTACGCATGTTCAGGTTCATCATAAATCTGTGCGATGGGTTCTAGATTCATCGCAGGGGTCCATGTAGCGTTGGTTTGACACCCTTTGTACTTTGATGGTCTTACCGATCACTATGTACTTACACCATCAATCTGCTATCTCTACCTTGATCTTGTTCTCTATCATTCTCTTCGATCTCTAACCTGTTCTCCAATGTAAACAAACTTAGAAAACCCTAATTCCTAATGATTACATTAGGAAAAACCCTAATACATCTTATCTAGAAAAATTAAAAAAAAAGTTAATTAATTACAAACCATTAATATCAAAATTGCATGAAGTGCACTGAACTTGCCACCAAAAAAGAATTCAATATCCACACACCTTCAGCCTAATAATTCAAGAATTCACCATAGAATCATTCAAATTAATATTAGAAAATATAAAGATTAAATTTTAGACCATTGGCCCAGTTAATATGCTAATTAGGTCAAATTGTCTAGACTAGTTCATGCCAATTTGATGTTTCTTTCAAATCTGATTTATTCATTCCAAGAATTGAACCTAGTGCTCTGATACCACTCTTGTAAGGGTTTTAAATCAAATTAAACATGGTCAAATTTCTAAATTTTTTCTAACCCAATTTGGGAACAAATTTCCTAGTGATTGTGAAATTTGAAATTGTGAAATCGATCTTGCATAGAACTAGACTAGATTTGAAATGCAAATTAAAATTGATTATACTTGATATGGAGACATAGCCAAGTATATCTATATAAATATAAATTAAAGATAATTTGGCCCGATCTAGTAATAGGGGGACACGTGGACACCACCTAACTAGCAGGATAACAGCTCAACCCGATGCGCCATGTCCGCGATGGGTCGAGCTCGTACAACCAGACCACCTCAAGAGGAATCCACCTCAGGACGAGTCTACCTCGGTGCAAGGTCACATCAGGACCACCTCGGTCCTAAGGCACTTCGGCATTCATATCAGGTCGGATCTAAAGAGCATGAGCTCAGGCAACGCTGACTGACCACTGCATGGCAACCCCGAGGATCTCGTCACCATACTTCGCGTCTTACGGGATCATACCTTGTAACGGCTAATATTATCTCCCCACTCCCCGATTCAGGCGGAAATGGTTAACCTTACCGGTTGGTAGCGTTATCCCTAATTAACACGGAAACGGATCCTATTGCAGTGAGAATCCCGAAACTACTCCACGGAACCCGCAAGGATACTAGTATATAAAGGCTCCACCCCCGGGGGTGAGGGGTACGCGTAATCTCTGCTCTCTAGCTCTCTTGCATTCTAAGACTACTATTAGCTCTCAATCAAGCGCTAACTTAAGCATCGGAGCGACCTCGCCGGGTAAGCCACCCTGGGTCCCCTGATTCATGTTTTGCAGGTCCATCAAGCCCATCGTTGTTGGTAGCCAGATCACCTCCAGCAGGAAGTAGGCGGATTGTGCAACATCACTACAATTATAAAACCAAATCAAACACAAACAACCCACATCTTATTTGAGCTGAGAGGGGAAAGAAAAGAAGTACAAAATGCAAATTTAATTATTCATTCGGTTAGAGAGATTTTGGAGCCTCCATCTCTCTCTCTCTAGACAGCGATACTGTGAAGCACCACAGTCTCAACTGTTAGCCCTGGTCCAAACCCAAACAGCACACCCCATTCGAGCCCTTCTCCAGTGGTCTTGAGCCCGTCCTCAATCGACTTCTTCCGCATCTCATCCAATATGAACAGAACACAAGCACTTGACATGTTTCCATACTCACTCAGGATGTGTCGTGTGGCGCGCAGCTTCTCGGACTTAAGGGCCAGCTTTTCTT